TTTGAATAAACATCGCAAATGTTTTTGGTAGCAACTGTTGCGTTATTTCCCTTGCGAAACTCAAAGAGCATGCAATGCCTGATGTGTACCTCTTCTGGTATTTGGCTGGCCATTTTACCCAAAATTACAAAAAAAAACATTGTAATTTAATTGTCTATAAGTAAAAAAATCACTATACCTCACAATGTCTTTGGTACGCCTCTGAACCAAACAATGAGCTGACAAATGGCAATCAAGTATTGGCATGCGTAGAAACGACATTACTTTCCGGTCCCCCTAATATAATCCTAGGATAAGATCGTATGAATCATTCTAATTACTTCACCGCAAACCACAGGCATGTAAGGAAATTAAAATATATATAATAATATAAGAATGCTATAGAAATTTTCGATACAAGAATAAAAATGTTTTAATTAATGTATTAACATAATTTAGTTCAAACTTAATTAAAGTTTGAGACACTTGTTAATTGGTTCTAAAATTACGTGCGGTCCACCCGAAGCTGAATTTTTGTAATAGAAAGAAGCATATTGTATTTAACGTTATATAAATAGTATTATTATAAAATAATTTTAAAACTTGACAAATAAATGGACATAATAAATTTTTTTTAATAAAATAAATAGTATATACTGTCTGTCTCATTCAATTAACATGGCTTCCATTTTAAATTTTCGTTGCAATTTATTTTTTTGGAAGCTGAAGAGTTATAATAATAATTAAAATAAATATAAGTTCTTAATGCGAAAACGATGTATATGTATTTTGCCCGCTGTTAGATGTTGTTGTGTGGCATACATTAGTATACCGTGTTCTTTAGATTACCCGCTATTTATAGACTTCGTTGACTGGCCATATGTAAATATTATTAACATAATATCGCAAATACGTTATTTAAAACAATTCAAAAATAATGGATTTTATTGGATTGGACTATTTGGATGAGTCACAAAAATGACATAAGAATTCTTAAAATTTTAAACACATTCATCAGATGATTCAATAACTTGAAGACATCTTAAATTTTGACTTTCCACAGTTAAAGCTTTATAAATATTGTGGTCATCAACATATATACACAATATATTACATACAATGAAGTGCAGACGTAATAATAATATCGCAGGATCAACACAACCAAAAGAGGTTATTGTTCGTTCTTATTGACCCTTATTTTACCAGTTCCCCGAAACCAGTTAACAAGCCGACGATTTTGAATTTATAAAACGTATTACTTACGATACGTTGGAAAAAAATCGGTTGCTTTTATAATTAAACTATTTACATTTTATGACATCATGACTTAACTGTTTACAGTTATTTTAGTAGTATTTAATGTGAAGGAAAAATATTTAGTTTTCTTTGTTAGATCCTAATATTTACAAAATTACAATGCATAGCTTTATTTTCTTTAGTAGATTCCCCGACTAATTAAATCTATATGAATTGTAGTACAACTTAACATATTTATGATGTATTTTAAATGGCTTATATTTTGACTTCCTAGATGCCCGCAAAACATTGTTTATGAAACGGTACGTTGTAATAATTGGTATTGAATATTTAAGCGTTCGGTTAGATTACAAAATAACTATAAGATAGTTAAAGATCAAACTTTATTGGTGGAATTAGAATTTGAACTGCTAAGAACAGCAAGTATTAATAGTATTTTATAATGGAAACTATTTTATCAATCAAATTACTATTATATTATTTTTAAATTAATATCAATGAAATATTTAATTTACTTTGAAATAAACAAAACCTACCATCTTATACAGATTAATAAATTTTTTCTTCTGCAGATTTTTAAAAATATTTCAAGAAAGTATATATTTATTTATTAGTATAAGTCTCTATATCGGACATCTCATGTCTATAATATCACGAGACATGAATAGAAAATATTTTTAATTAAAAATTAATTAAATTGTTTCGGTTAGCAAATGTATCGTGAGAGTAAATATTTGAACGTGACACTAACGCAGGTGAGATCTTGATTTCATTTAACGCTTCGGTGAAGTGGACATATTATACACTCTCTATTTGAGGCATGAGGATATGTTGTCTCTACGTAGTTTATTACTCTGTATTTTATTTTTTCATTAACAAGTCTGGGAGCTAAGTCTCTGGACCATTATTGAAATAAAAATTATATATGCAATTTAAAAAAATAGCATAAGGATACTAAGAACATGAGGTAATTTTATTTGATATTTATTCTCATGTTCTGGGCACAATTTCCTAACATTAGGTCTTGGCCAAGGAAATTATTTTAAATTTGACTTCCATCGTCTTTTTGCTTAAATATCTTTCAATTTAAAATGCCATTTAAATATAATGTTTATTTTTGGTTTTAGCAATTGATTTTTTAAATAAACGGAAGAATATCAAAATTATATAATTTTAAATGTACATTTTACGAGTTTATATTTTAAAGAAAGTTTAAAACATTTTGATGAAGAATTGATTATTTTTGACACCATTTACTACCATATATATTTATATGGGTAGAGAAGATATTTACCTATGTTGGATTTCGTAAAATTAAAAAAAGTTACCTTTTAGTTTAAAGAAAGAATAAAACTAAAATATATAAAAGAAAAATGAAGAATTGTTTACAAATATACCGCTTTTCTATATTTACTATTTCTAGTGCCTTTTATAGTATCTTACTGGTGCACTTTAAATAAACCTACCTATTCGTATTTACTTAGTATTTTATTAGATTTATTTTTATATTGGATTTCTTTTTAATTTCACTTGGACGTTTCCGATTACTTCCTTGTAATCCCATTCACAAGGAGACAGGAGGAAAGTGCCCTAGAAAAATATAGAATTTTTATCCAATACACGCGACTTAAATCTCTAAATAAAGATTTTCTTACCGTCTCTTATGTACTTTCTATAGAACTTTAATATAAATTTATCTCCATTTAAATAACAGTAATATGTATTTATTATATATAAATCTAATACGTGGTGCGCTCAGCATTATAATTTAGGAACACAAACTGAAACCTAATTAGTTATACGTTTTACATAATGCTAGTAACGCGTACAGAATTACTGAATAACTTACGGGATTGTCCGTTTAATTGATTGCTCTATTAAATATTTTCTGTTGCACTCCCAAGAACTATATTTAAGCTTAAATTAAATAGGACTATAAAATTTTTCATACAATTATAAACATATATACGCTGTTATTATATGTATGTGTGTAATTGAGACGACAATTTTTATTTGATTTAAATTTTTGTTCTGTTATGATAATGAGTTCTAATATTGTGGCGAGTATTCATCCCTACTAATATGTATTATAAATGCGAAAGTAACTCTGTCTGTCTGTCTGTCTGTTACGCTTTCAGTCATAAACCACTGAACTGATTTTAATGAAATTTAGTACAGAGATAGAATTGATCTTGAGAAAGAACATAGGATAGTTTTTATCCCAGACTTTTGAAAGGTTCTCTTGGAAACGCGATATAACCGTACTCCACGCGGGCGAACCTGCGGGCGGAAAGCTGGTTTAAAATGAAACTAATATTATTCGTTTTACAACGCGTATTTGATTATTTTATAAACTACATACTCCCGACATTTCGGTTACTTTTCAGCAACCGTGATCACAGGCAGACGAGATGTGATGTCATTTACTTAGTGTGTGTTTTTTTAAATAATAATATTAGTTTCTTTTAGGATATTTTCAATGTGATATCAACATCGGTAAATTAATAAGAAACTATACACACATATATTAAAAATCATTATGTTTTATAGTTTTATTTTTAGTGTCGTGTAACGTTTTTGCTCCGCTGGCTGTTGTAATGTGTGATATTGTACCTAGAATTGTCTTTGAATGCTTGTTATTGTCCTTTTTTTATAAACACACTAACTTAATTCGTTTGCCGCGACTTGATTCATGCTTAAAACGAATATTATACGTTATAACTACAATTAAGCGTATAAGAAAATTAAAAGAAACCTTTTAAATAACGTAATATTAGAATACAAATATACATATGTCTTTAATAGGCTTATATTTTTGCATTTTATGAATATTCATTTATATGGTACAACCCAGTTACATGTATAAAAATTGATTTATTTGTGCTTTGTATTTTCCTTCATGTTCACAATATATGAATAAAGATACAATAGATGAAGAAAAAATTGTCCAGTTTGAAATTGGTAACTGAAGCCACGAATAGTTTATAAGCAAATTACGATATTTAGTTTATACATATGTTGATTTTTATTACTTTAAACAGCGATGTAAGGGTAATGTTAGTTCCTATTTTCCACTATATCATCAGAAAACGTAAAGAAATTTAGAAGAAAGAGTTTCTTCTTTTAAAATTACTGTTTTGTACGAATTAAGGCCAAATGCGAGTTATAAAAAAATCAAGAATTCCTCCTATAAATTACGGCTAATTACAGAACTGAGTTATAAATTACCGTCTTATAAAACTGATGTACGTACATTCATGTTGCAAATGTATGAAGCTTAACAATTTAAATTTGAATTTTAATTGCTATAATTTTTTATAGTGTTTGTCAGTTGGTATAATGTATTATGATTGTTTTGCACGAGAGCGTCGTTATAGCTAATAACATAATATGTCATAAAAATATTATTTTTTACGCTGTCCATGCAACCTTAAGACACGTGTACTGTGGGCGGAGTGCGAACATACAGGGTGATGTCATTACTCCGACACAACGATCTGTCACCCTTTTTACTTAAAATGGTATCCATCGCTCACAATGTTGACATACTCTATTTTGTTATGCAAGCTTAGGAATGCGCGCGGTTGTACAACCCATTCATAAATTAGATGCACCTGCTACAAACCGCTCAAATCCTTTGCTCGCAAAACATACTCGTAACTTTAAAATTCACTATTTGTGATGGCTTTGTTATAAACATTAGTGCTGTCACTGTTTACCTTATAATTTATGTACAGTACGATCACTATAACTTAGAGTACACTTCATGAATCACTTAAAAGTCTTTTTATCACGTGCTGTGTGTATTGCACATGCGCGCTCGAGGCACTATCTGTGCGGAGTGGCGGCGGCGCAGGCTGTGTTGCCTGCCCCCCTCCCCCCACCCGCGGCGCAAGGCTGCCCCGACGCAATGGCATTCCATCTGTGACGACAACGTGCCCATTTATGTCTTTGGACATGGTTGACGGCCACAACGCCATATGGTCTTGCATTCATGAGATTATGGCTTTTCAATGATGGCGGATTAAAGGTGTGGGATAATAATGGCTTAATCACCTGTTACATGGAATTCCAATGTTATTCAAAGAAATATACAACTAGGATTACTTTGTTGTAACAATAGAACATAAATATAGATAGGTTTTAACTAGTTTTTGATCCCCGTTTCAATTGCCTTTTTAAGCTATCTGACCAATAAATAAATTGCAAATATTTAATATTTATTTTGTATATTAAATATTTATTTTGTATATCTTCCGTCTAATTTACCAATATTATAAAATGCTAAAATTTTCCCAGGCCATTTGGACCCAACTCTTACATACAAAAATAGCCTTTACAATACTAATAAGTTTTTCATTTACTTGCTTGTTATAAGATATATTTCAGTAATATTGATGATTTATCAGTATGTTTGGAAAACAAAGAACAAAATATATTTATAATACTTGAATCATGAGCATTTAAAATTATATAGAGGAATAATTCATTTTTATATCCTTTGTGATTGAGTGAAGTGTCATGTGTCCACTGAAAAATAACATCATATTTATTTAAATAGAAATTTACTAAACAAAAAAATATTCGTTTAAGAATATATACATACGAGTATTTTTAACTAAATCCATTTTGATAAATAAATCAAAAATATGTTCTTAAAAATATACAATCGGATTATGTCCAATCCTCTTATGCAATGGATTTGGGACGTGAAAAATATCAAACAGAAAACTATTACATGAATAACAGATAACTTTTAATAACCTTTCCAATTATTCCAGTTGCAATTGTTGTATGGATTAATTCAAATTTATTCAAGAGGCAGTACCATCCGTTTCAATGGCATCACGTCAGTTACCTTCAATAAACCATCCAACCACATATGAAATATCAAAGCGGTTGGATTAAGACAAACACGAATCTGAATTGGTGATTTGCCTTGATTACCAAAGTCAACTGTTGTTATGTAAAGACTGTTTGTAATGTTAAATAGATGCGAAGTAGAAAATCTGTTTTAATTATACGAATACAAAAAAGTATAGGAAAAACTATTTAGTTTAATATTTAGTCGATATCGACACTATAAAAATAATTGAATTTGAAATTATTTTAATAAATATAGATATAAAATGACAAAATGTTATCATTTTCGAAAGGAAATTTAATATAAATGTAAGGTGACTGTATTATTGAAATGATTAAATCTATAGTTTATTCATTAAAAATATCAGTTACATTAATTGACTAAAAGTTATGCACTTCAAAACATTTGATCATTTGGTTGTGACTGTAGTACCGAGATCGATAAACAAAATCTATAAAATATTTACATTTCAAAACAAATGTCAAAGTTGTAGATGAAATTGTATTACATTGGTTATCGGGCTCAGGTGAACATTTTAAGGAGAATTTTGCAACATGAGAAAAATGGAATTGAAATTGCTGGATGCAGGTAAACGAGATATGTATGCCTTTCGGGCTGACTTCGATATTCATTGGTAAGATTGTTTCAACGTAATACGCCTTCAATGTCCGACTTACATCAACTCACTTTGATGTATTTGACATTAAATATATTGAATAAAGTAATATTTATGTACTTATCATGCCACTATTTTGTTTAATTGTACTTCGGAATGAGTTTAATAGATATAAGCATATAATAAAACTGAAATCTCTGTTTCCTCATCTCATATTTAAAGCTAAATAATAAAAATATAATGGCCGAGTTACGGAGTAGTAACAGCTGGCTTGAAATAAGAACATCCAATAAATAAACCTTAGAATAAATAAAACATGGGACGGATCCTCCTTTTTGAAATCCGAATTTTCCGCGGTACTTTTTTTATGTCGGAAGCACATGTACGATACATTCAAAAACAATGAATGGTCTGTTGGTTTTACAACTTTTATATGTTATAGAGAACGGTCCAGTTCTAGCTTTCTCTTTGTCTATTTTTATTTGTATTTTTTAATATCGTCTTTAAATATAATACTATTGAAACAAGTCATGCATTTGAAATAGCTTGAGGAATCTAATTAGCTTCTCTTAAATGCAGTTATGTGCAGTTAGCTTCTCTTAAATTTCGGTTTAAAAAATAATCATGGTGGTGAAAATATCGCCTCTTATAAAGGGTTAAAAATTAAAACTCACCTTTCTTTACAAATGAAATCAGGTTTGTAGTGATTGAGAAATACAATAAATTTTTATTTTATACGTATTTTTTTCATACATTTTAGAGATTTCCAAATTAGTCTTTCCGCGGCTTCTCATTAGTCCATTAACACAACCCAACCGAGTCGCGTTACTGAAATGCAATTATAACTCGTATTTCATAATTTATACGATAAGCCGACGTCATTGTGAGTCCCTTATAAATTATAAATAAGCTTGATTTATTGCGGTCGAAAAAAATGCTGTTTTAATTAATCAACTTACACAATTATGGTTGGGATTTGTGTTGCATTTAAGTCTTGTTATAATCTGATGTATTCTTTATTAACAGAAAATTAAATATTAAGTTCTATGGCCATATATATTTTTTAATTTGGTGGATATAAGTAAAATACGGCAATATTCTCCACAAGGATTCTGTTTACATTTATTAAGAGGTGAAGGTCTCTCGATCGTGTTTTCTTATGAGTGTCTCACGTCTTCTTTCTTTGACTTCTTAGAGAGTGTAGGAGCACGTTGCCGTCCACTTGGTTGTACGTGATTCGCTTAAGCTATTTGTTAAATTGTTGCGAATGAGTGCTACAAGTGCTGTTGCACAGAAACATACAGTTCGTTATTGTATTTCGTTTCCCTTATTTATTTCTCTCCATATAGGATTTCATTCAAACATATACATAAAAACTGGAACCTACGAAAAGTAGAAAACGCGTTTAATTCAATTATAGTTTAGTAGTAAAATAATTAAAACATCTTATCAAAAATATGCTATTAATGAAATATAAAATTCTTAAGTCAAAATTACGCTTTGAATAAACAATTACAGAATAAACAATTACTGTAAAGTCAGGAACGTACGTATCAGTAACGGTAGTATCTTCAACTGAACGTTATTTAATATTTTTAATCATTAAAAAGTTAATATATAATTTATAAACTCAACCTATCTTCTTTTATTGATAGTAAATGTTATATACATATTTTTCATGAAAATAAAATAATAATACGAAACTTCTGAGAAATATTTCTTTATTGAATTAGTCGAATAACAATAAAAAAATGTTAATATTAAATGTTAAATAACTTAAGGTTCAAATGTTGTGAAGGCGTTTAAAGTGTAATGTATGCAAAAATGTTTCAATATAATTAAAAAAATAAAATTAACTAAAATAATTGTAAGCGCCTGTGAAAATGTTGTTTGTGAATATTATATATTTGAAAAACAAAGGTGTTTAATTGAAACTTATAATAAATGTATGTTGGCATCAAATAACTTTTTAATTATAAAATTTCTGGGTACCGTAATGACTTTATAATTTATTTAAAATTCGAAGCGAAGCTACTTTAATATGCGAAAATCATAACGACACTTGTGGTAATGGATTTTGTATAAGATCGTCGGCTCTCCGCTGCAACTTGAATTAACGAAAGCAGTTCTTCAAACTTAAAGCGGAAAAGGACAATCTTATGACGTTTTAATTCTCCAAGAGATTTTTATTTCTCAAGCACTTAGAGCACTTATTAAACACAGTCTTTAAAAAGATATTGATAAATTCTTTTCTTAAAGTTCCATCAACATAATGAACAAGAAATTGACATTCTTTGTTCTATTTACAAAGGGAGACTCATATAACTATAAAATCTTTGTAGTTTTAAGTATTGATAATGTTTAAATTCTTGGCATTATAGCGACTTCCTATGACTTTTCTTGTGATAGCTATGCTTTCTTAAATACTGAAAATGCTCTTGCAATATAAACAGCGTCTCAAAAATCTCACAAATATTTGTTGAAAGTAAATTTGAATAGCTTCGAACACTTTAATATTTATTTAATTTGTGACACTCAAAGGGCTGCTCCTTAACGCCTGTGGTTTGTTTGCAGACGCGGTGCGAGGTTTTGCTAAAACTTTGCGGCAACAATTTAAATACTTACTGAGAATATTACAGTAGACTACCTCCTTTCCTGTTACTCAGAGGTTGTAGAGAGATATTATTATAGAATTTTGAATTTAGTTTTGGTAAATGAAGCGAAGTTATATAAATGTTTGGTGAAATAAAATTAATTTATAATACAAGAAGAAAGGAGCAACTTGTTATGAATGTAACTTTTGTGTTATAGATTGCAATGGAATAATATTTTTGCTAGCTTTTCAGTCTTTTTTTATAACACGGTTCTAAAAATACCTATAAAATTTAAGTTTTATATATAAATATTTCGACATTTACAAATTATATAACTGGAGTTTATTTTTTGTTTGTAAAAAACATTGCAATAAAATTTAACAAAACATTTTGATATATGATGTTTCGAACATTTCCTGTCCGCTTTTTACTATAAAGAACACTTTTTTAATTCAGTGCAGTTTTAATATTTCAATTCGTAATCTGTTTTTTGGTATAATTGTTTCAACGTATAACATATAAAATAAAGCCCAAATAAAACTTGTTAAAGGAATAAATGAAATATATTGAAATATATGTAGTTAAATATCTATGTTTGCACTATACATGAAAAAGTCCGTTTGCATAAGTTGTAACATTTGGTTATAGTAGAATATTTTTCTTCCAGAAACACTGTATTTATCGCATAGATTGCGGTAAGGAGAATGCCTTTTCGACTAATACATATCTCTTCATCGGGCGCGCAAAACTGTCGCTGCGGCAGGATATTTTGCTAGGCACTAACGTTTTAATTGATCCGGTATATCTATAGGTTGAATGTCATTATTGTTCTCATTAGATTTACCATTATTGTAATACTACTTCAATGGTGGGAACAGTAACTGTAAACTTAAGTTGTGGAAATAGTTTCACTTCATA